TCCCCAGGCCGGAGCTAACATTAATGCCGTGGACAAGCAGCGCCGGACGCCGCTGATGGACGCCGTTGCCCACGATCAGCTCGAGGCCGCGCGGTTCCTGCTGCAGCGCGGGGGCTGCGTCTACAGCAAGGTGACGTCATCACTGACCACGCCCCCCTGTGACATCACCACACTAACCACACCTCTGTGACATCATCATTACTGACCACACCCTGTGACATCATCATCATCACTGACCACGCCCATGTGACATCATCACTGACCATACCCTGTGACATCATCGTCACTGACCACGCCCAGTGACGTCATCATTGACCACACACCTGTGACGTCATCACTGACCACACCCCTGTGACATCATCATCACTGACCATGCCCTGTGACGTCATCATCACTGACCACACCCTGTGACGTCATCACTGACCACACCCTGTGACGTCATCACTGACCACGCCCTGTGACATAATCACTGACCACGCCCTGTGATGTCATCACTGACCATGCCCCTGTGATGTCATCACTGACCACGCCCCTTGTGACGTCATCATCACTGACCACACCCTGTGATGTCATCACTGACCACACCCTGTGACGTCATCACACTGGCCTCACCTGTGACATCATCAGACACCCTGTGATGTCATCACACTGACCACGCCCCCTGTGATGTCATCACACTAACCACACCCTGTGATATCATTGTCACTGACCACACCCCCTGTGATGTCATCATCACTGACCACGCCCTGTGGCGTCATCATCACTGACCACGCCCCCCTGTGATGTCATCACTGACCACACCACGTGACGTCATCACCGACCACGCCCTGTGACATCATCATCACTGACCACACACCTGTGATGTCATCACACTGACCATGCCCTGTGACGTCATCGTCACTGACCATGCCCCGTGACGTCATCACACTGACCACACCCTTTGACGTCATCGTCACTGACCATGCCCTGTGATGTCATCACACTGACCACACCCTATGACATCATCACACTGGCCTCACCTGTGACGTCATCACACTAACCACACCCCTGTGACATCATTGCCACTGACCACACCCCTGTGATGTCATCATAACTGGCCACACCCCTGTGATGACAGCATCGGACACGCCCTGTGATGTCATAATTACTGACCACATCCTGTGACGTCATCACTGGCCACGGCCCTGTGATGTCATCACCCCTCACCATGATGTCATCATCCCCGCCCCATATGATGTCACATCCCTTGTATGACATCACCATCCCATATGATGACACCACCCATGTATGACATCACCACCCCCAGTATGACATCACACCCCGTATGATGTCACTGTCTCTCTGAATGACGTCATCGCCCCAGTATGATGTCACCACCCC